AGGGACAAGGGCAGAGACAGATGGAGGCAGATGGAGGCTGCAAGACACAGAGACCACGGAGCAGGAGACGGGAGGGGGGTCTGAACACGAAGAGCTGGGGAACCCGGAGCTCTGAGGGACACTGAGAGGCACACAGGCAGAGAGGTGTGTGTGTGGGGTCTTTCTGGGGCCTTGCCCCGTGTCCCTAGTCAGAGCAGCGGCTCCTGCCTCAGTTTCCCGTCGTCAGGCTGTCCTCCAGGGCCTGGCCCCTGCTTGGTCTTGCAAGCTGTCTCCCTCAGGCAGGGGACGCTGCCAGCTTCTTGCCCCCGCCATGCTGGCTGAAGTCCATCCACACAGCTCTGGCATACGGGCCCTCCTACCAGGAGGTCCTGCCCCAGGAAGGCCTGGGATGGGATCTCCCTCCTTCGTAGGCCCGGTCCTGCAGTGTTGACCGGTCTGTCCCCACTAGCTCTAGGTGGGCCAGGGAAGGGGGTGAAGGTGGAGGACGGGAAGGTCACCATCCAGCAGGCGCCGGGGACAGCCTGCACCAGATTCTCGGAGGCCATGAAGTCAGGGCAGGGGGAGGGGCCTCCTGCCTCCATGGGGCCTGGCCCGATGCCCGATGCCCACCAGTCCAGTCAGCTCTGGTATTTCCAGTTCCCCAGAGAGCCGTGGGGGATGGGGCAGAGGGCTAGGAGGGACAGCAGAGTGGGAAGTGGCCAGAGTCACAGAATCCCCTCTGTCCTGGAGCAGGGTGGGTTCCTCCCTTTCCCATCTGTGCCTCCCAAAGGCTCCGACCCCACCCCCACTTCCGGCCTTCTCAGAGTTCCAGCCCAGGAGAGACACTTCCAAACCAAAGGGCCCCTTCCCCCTTCTCCCCCGGCCCCTCCACTGCCTTGGCTCTGGGGACCTAAGCCCCCCGCCTCCACCCCCTCACTATGCCAGATGTGGCTGCAGGGGAGGGGCGGGCGCAGGGCCCAGCTGGCGGTGGTCATCGGTGGTCCTCTGCCGAGTCAGCACTCTCCGTGCCAGCTCGCCGGCCTCCTCAGGCTGCACTCCCTCCAGCCTTCTCCCAGAGGCAGCAGCTGGGCCTACAGAGGCCCTGGGAACACCCACCAAGGCTTCTGAGCCCACCCCGTAGCCCTGGTCAGGGCTTTGCTGAGCGCCCACCCAGGTGCCAGGCTTATACTTGGCAGCTGGGGCCATGGGAGAAACAGAGACCAGCTCGGGCAGGGATTCCAGGGCCTGCCCTCACCCTTACCCACCCCAGAGAAGCCTGGCAGCTGGCCCTCAGCAGCCTCCCCCTCTCCCCTACAGGGCAGTGAGACACCCGCAGCTCCTCGGCCCTGGGCTGGGGCCATCTCTGCTCCATGGCCCCTCTGCCAGACAGCCTGCTCTCTCCTGGCTCTCCACGGGGCCTCAGAGCCTGGGTTCTACCACAGGGTCCGTGGGGCTCCAGCAGTACCATGGGCACACAGTAGGTGCTTCACAAAGCCCCACCCTCTCAACAAGGGCTCTCAGCCCTCTGGCACCAGTCCTCGGGGCTCTTGAGACTGGTTCCTGAGGCCAGGCCCTGGCAACAAGCCTGGGGCACGTGCTTGGGTCTTTAAAATGTGGCTGCCACCCTAGCGGGGAGTCAGGAAGCAGAGAGGAGCTGCTGGCTCTGGCCTGGTGAGTTCAGGCCCTCATTTCACCCAAGCTCTGTGCCCTCCAAAGCCTCCCGCTAGGCCCTTCTGCAGGTTTCAACCCCAGGACGCCAGGACATCTCCAGCCACTGAAGCGAGGCCATGGCCTCCCATGGAGGGTGGAAGCAGGCAGCCCCCAGGGGCTTCCCAGCCATGAGGGAGACTGGACCTGGCAGGGAGGTCGAGCAGAGGGGGAAGGACAGACCCAGAGGGATGTGCCATTGCTGGCCCTGGCTGGCTCGAGGTTCCCCCTGGGCAAGGAAGGGAGCTGACAGATAAAAACAGGACAGGGACAGAAATGCTGGGGCAGGGTCACCCTGGGGAGGTCAGCCCCTCCCTTCTATCATGTGGGAAAGAAAACAGTGGCCACCTGCCTGGCGCCCAGGGGTTCTCTTCCTAATCCTCTCCCTCCAACCTCTCAGACCTGCAGCAGGAGAGGGGTCCCACCCCACCCCACTGGTCCCAGACAAGACTCCGAAGCTCTGAGCACCCTCGGGAGCAGCCGGCAGGCCAGGACCAGGCCTGGATCCCTGGCTCAGGGGCGTCATGGAGCCTGGTCTCAGCCTCGGGGGGTGGGGGAGATGGCTGGCAGGGCCTGGGTCCTGGCTGGGGAACCAGTGCAGAGGCCCCGCTCTGCTCAGAACGGAGTTTATTCACACAGAGCCTAACAGGAAACTGGGCTCCTCTGACTCACTCCGATTCGACCTTATTAAGAAAAATGAAAGCGGCGTGGGAGCCAGCACCGGGTAGGGTTTCACGCCAAGTGCGGGCTACAAGAAGGCAGAGACCAGCTGAGTGGGATGGCCTGTGCCCCCATCTTCCCACACCCGAGTTCCAGGCAGGCCCTTCCCCACCGAGGGGCTGGAAGACTGGAAGACGGGGGTCCTGCCTGCTCCACTTAAGGCCGACCTCTCAGCCATCCTGTCCTCCCTCCCTGGGGGTACCCTGAGGCCTATTTCCACTTCGCCTCCTTCTCCTGGCTCTGCTGCCCATCTGGCTGGCGGGAGAGCCCTACAGGACCCCAGGGATGCCAAGCAGCAAGCCAACACTGCAGGGGGCAGGTGGAGGGAAGGAGGTTAACTCTCCAGGCCCCGGCTTTGCTTCCAGCAGCCTCTGCCATCAGTCAGGGGTCACTCCTCACAGAAACTCCACCTGGAGCTTGAGCCCGACCCCAGGCTGGGGAGCCTGGTGCCCTGCAGCTGCTGCTGGTCAGGACGGTGCTGGAGCAGAGTCACCTGAACTGCAGTCCCAAAGAACAGGGTGGGGTGGACAGATGCTGCCTGCAGGCATGGGGGCAGGGCTACAGTCTCTGAAATGTCCCCTCTGTGATCCCCTCCCCCAAGGAAGGCTCCAGGTGCCACAAGAGGGGGATCTGCAGGGCCAAGTTAGGGCATGCCCTTCTACCCTGTTGAGAAGCATGGGAGGACACTTTCTTCTCTGTTTAAAAAGTGTATTAATTTCTTCCAGCACAGAGAGAGAGAGAGAGAGAAGGAGAGAGATGCAGGTGCCACTCCCAACAGGACCTTCATGCCCCAGTCCCCGCAGCTTGGTCAGCTCGACCTCAGGCAGTGTGCAGCCAGTGTACACAGGAGGTCCCAGGAACCATGCCAGGACCTTCCCTGCGTGGCCCTGGCCCCATGACTGCTCCATCCCACCACCCCCATTAGCTGGCCTCCACAAGAGGGCAGTTTCCATCCTCTGGCTTCCAGGAGCAAGGCTGGAGAAGGCAGCCCAAGAAGGCCTGGGGGCAGCATTGAAAGTTTGAGTTCTTGGGACCAGCAGATGGAGTAATGGTTATGTCACTGGACTCCCACATAATCGACTATAGTTCGAGTCCCGGACAGGCGGCCGAAAACTCACGCTGGGCGCATGTGCATGCGTGCTCAAGATCCTGAGAGGAGAATGGAGGAGAAGGGATTGCTGTGTGGTCACCCCCCTGGGGGGGTGATTTCTTGATTTCTGTCTCTCTCTGGAGAGTGCATGTGCCCTACAGCAAAAATTTCTCTTAAAAAAAAAAGGTGTGATTTCTTGGATGCCAAAGTGCCCTAACTTGCTGCCATCCCCAGAGGGAACAGAGTCTGCGAAAGTGCTCTGAGGGACCATGTGGCCTCATTGTCCATTGATCAGATGTGGCACCCGAATCAGAAAGGGGAAGGGACTTACCCAAGGTCATCCTCAAACCATAGCAAGAGGACAGGGTGTGAAATGCCCTCACTGGTCATCCACACGTCCAGGTTTTGCAACCTTGCAAGGACCCCACCCCCTGTCAAATACAGCCGCTGGGCTTCACTCCTGTGGACAGGACACAGGCCTACACAGGGGCGGTACCATGCAGAGCAGGAGTTGGGGACAGAAACCACCCAATGTGAACCACTGATTGCTCACAGATTTCAAAGTCCTATTCAGCTGGAACACGCCCATACTACACGCTACATGCTACAGACGCACCGTGAGGCCTGGATGCGTGCCAAGTGGGGGACAGTGAGGCTCCAGTTCTCGTACTTGTGCCCCAGAGCTGAGGTGCATCTGGGACCCAGAATTAGAAAGCAGACGCTGCCCAGATCTCCCTGCAGAGGCCAGCCAACAAGGAGGGTGTCTCTTAGCACAGGCTTTGGAGGACAAGAGAAATGGGAACCAGGTGTCCCGGGGAGAGGCTGGAACAGACAAGAAAGGGGACGACCAAAGGAGAAGAGGATGAGTGAAATGGAGACCAGGCATGCGTGGATGCAGGGTGACGCCGACACCCCAGCCCTGTTCTGCTTGCCAGAGCCCCTCTTACCAGGCGAGTCCCAGAGGCCCCCTCCCACTGCCTGCTGCCTGCGCTTCCTTGGAGGCAGGTCTGCGGCTTGGCTGGGAGCTCTGGCACTCGGAGAGGGGGGAGCGCTGCAGCTGTGGGACAGGCCACATAGCTAAAAGCCGGCGGGCCGTAGGGCCCCGCGGAGGAGGCCCAGCAGGAGGACCAGGCCCCCCAACCTCCCTTGCTCCCAGCCTGTTGCTTATTCATTCAGAGTGGGAAAGCGCCAGCCCTGCAGCCAGCCAGCGCAGCCAGCTCCGCTGGACATGTAAGGCCCGCAGGCGGTCCTGCCCGCCCGGTGCCCTGCCGAGCGCCTCGTGCAGCCCTGGGCACCGCCCCTGCCCTGCCCTGGCCTGCCCCCTTGGCCTCGAAATGCTGTCAGCGGAGGAGCCGTCCCGCTCGGGACACGGCCAGCATGGACAGAGCTAGAGCAGGGGCAGGCAAGGAGCCGTCCTGTGGTCGAGGCCGTGGGAAGAGAAGCGCGCACAGGAGGCCGCTCCGGAGAGCCTCCCTGCCCACCAGGCCTCTGCAGAGGGGCCACCATGGCTCTGGCCCGCGCCGGCTGGCGGCTGGGGGCCCTGGTGTGGGGCGCCTGCCTGTGCGTCCTGGTGCGCGGGCAGCAGGCGCAGCCCGGGCAGGGTTCGGACCCAGGCCGCTGGAGGCAGCTGATCCAGTGGGAGAACAACGGGCAGGTGTACAGCCTGCTCAACTCCGGCTCGGAGTATGTGCCAGCTGGGCCTCTGCGCTCCGAGGGTAGCGCCCGGGTGCTGCTGGCC